TCTTTGGCCTCTGTCAGGTTTCCGAGAAACTTTATTGTCAGTATCAAAATACTGCATGAATTGGTATCATTTAGGACCTTGCTTATTCCTTACCGTTTAAGATGAATCCATGCTAATCCTACGAAGTTTTCATGTATTACTGCGAGTAACCGTATAATATCACGAAGCTTTAGAGAGGAACATCATGTGACTGAACTGTTTATCTTTTGACAACCAATCTGCATCTCCACAAAAAATATGTGGCGGTCTCTACGGTTCGTTCTTTTCTGATCTATCTTGTAAATTGAAACTTGTGAACCGCAAACCTTGCACAGTGAGAATGTTTCATTTGAAGGATTGATCTCAGTGAAAGGGGACAGTATACACACTGTGGCGGGCGAGTCTGGAAATCTGAAACCCGAACACCAAAATGTGTCATATGCTTTTGCAGAAATGCAAGCCCTCACTAGAGTCACCATACTCTGACACATTTTATTCAGATTCCTGGGGGAAATATCTCGCCACTGTCGTCAGCAGACTGCACAGGTACAATGTGCGTGCCAACTAAGGACGATTTTACCTCGAGGATATGCTTACCGAAGTTAATCTTCATGGGATAAAACTGTGGTTTGTTAAGCTACTCTTTAACTGCTGACACAAAGGAAAGATCCTGTTTGTTGCGCAATAGAACTTATCACCTGTTTACGAGTAAAGTTTGTTACTTATCCGCCAACTGCATGGAGCATCAGAAACGATGTTCAGTTGAATTTGCCCCGGTGTTTTGCGAATCCAACATTCACGTTTGCAATGAAAACCTTGTGAATCTAATTGTTAAATTGGCAGAGTATTGAGGGCCCATTTAAATATTTCCGCTAATTTATGATGCTGTATCACGGGACAATAGCACAAGTGCACTAGAATGAGCCCAATATTACGCGTGACATATTTGTATGAGAAATTGTCAGAGCGAAGACGATTTTAAAGCATCCATGGTTCTGATTGTGGAAATCCAAGGAAAAGATTGCTTGCGATGACAAAAACAGTGAATTATAATGTTTTCCTACACAATACTATTGTAACAATAAATTTTCTGTCGGCCCTTACTTCTCGTTAGAAACGTGCTTTGGGTGTCTCGTATCCTATAAGGCCAGTATGATGAGGATATCGGTTCCTATCTCAGAACCAATCCAGGTTTCCCTAAAAAAGAGCTTTTTGGTTCAAGCAGTTAGAGCGCGAATTAACTAGTCGAAAGTTGAAGGTTCGAACCCGACCTCTGCCTTTCGACTTACCCTGAGTAGGCTTGGGCTACCTGACAGCCCTCGTGCTTTTTACCAGTGGTATGCCAGCAAGGCACTGAAGAGGTGTTACAGCTGAATAGTTGTTATTAAAGAAATAACTCCACTGATACCAGATGCCCAATAAACTACAAAGCTATATGCTATGAATGAAATGTTTGCGCAGTTTTGTTCAGCTTTCAAAAGTATTTCAGGGACGTCACGTACAAAATAGTTTGGAATGCTAAGGCAAACTGACTGATCTTCTGGTTACACCTTTCCTGTATTTATTGAAAGCGTTATTAGTTTTGCTGGGTATGCAAACTATACTGCTTGAACAATAAGTCAAAACGAGTGTCATGCACTTTTCGGACACAAATATAAATTAAGGATATATCAACGTTAGGAACTTTCAGATACATTCGGTCGCTATCGAATTTGGACGGTTCAATTCAACCACCGTTTTTTTTCCAAACAACTGAGTAAAATATTAAGCATAAAAGTCAACAGGAATTTGTTCTACTTATATACGCGCTTATTACTACTGAAATCAATATCATCCTATTCTATATTGGTTGACTTAGCAAGATTGCTCACCACGTCCTTCTCTACAAATAGCTACTATAGCAGAAGATATTTTTTTCACTGCTTATTCGCATCTTTATTCCAAATACGAGTTCGATTATTATAGATACTTCAAAGGCAAAATTTGGTGGAAACACGTTACAGCAGTGTTTATTTGTACTTTTGGTTACGGTGTGAAGACTAGCGTTGAATGTCCAAAGACTTCGGAAATGCGGGGTTAAGATCATTATCACATGGAGGTTATTTTTGCTCATAGATAAATTTGTCTTATTCCATTTTACACGTAGCTTGTGGCGTATTCATCCCGTTTTTTTTCAGGAGAAACTAACAGACTGTATACCCTCATCCGCTTTTTTAGTCATTCTGTGATGGAAAATTAAGTGAGGACAATTATAAGGAGCACGGAACAAACTTTCATAACAGATTCGGTCTCTGGTTATTTTTTAAAAAGTGGAGTGTGACAATAGTGTACCCCTAGCGCAGCTGGCTATGTGCGGCGCAGTTTGGCTGACAGTAATTATTTTCGCTAGTAAACAAAATGAGGATTACCCGTTAAATACATCCTAGTCTTCAACTACATCCCAGCATGCGGTTTACATGCACTTTGTTTTGAATCGGGTTTTACGAACAGGAGTGCAGAAACTGAACTAACGTAAAAAAAATGCAAAAGAACGTGACTGTCATAAACTACATAAAACGTCTTGATAAATGCCATCATAATGTGGATGATAGGGAGCGCACTAAGGAAATCGATTAGAAAGGCATAAATGTAGGCGCTATACAATGACTGGGTAGTCGAGTATATGACAGGAGTTTAACGAACTATGTTAAGCTGACCACCAAACCATCCTGGCTTCTGTCCGTAATAAACTTACCGTCATCTTTGGTAAAACGGTAATCAGTCAACAGTAGCACTTTTTGGGTGCCTGTGTTCCACACCGTCGCCAGTTAGCATGAGCACTGAGGTATTGCCAGGTTGCCGAAGGACATGAGTAGTGGAGATGTTGGGGCTTGTTCCAAACAATGAACCTTTAGTAAGTTCGTACCTTTACTATCGAAGTACATCATCATCATCATCGACAGCATGACATCAGTGTTCAACACCAATGCTTCACTGCTGTACAACTATGATTTATTTGAAAGCCTTATTGTAAAGAAAAGAGTAGAGGTGGACAGGGAAGGGACTTAGCACTAGCTTACCACAATTATTCCGAGGTACCTACACCTCCAGACATTCACTCAGTCATTCTGGATAGAAACTAACAACAAGAACGCCACTGACATCGGTTGGCAGTCATATCTTGTAGTGTCTCCAACCAGGCACAGTGAGGATCACGCGGTCCCCATCCTGGAAGGCGACTAGCACCGACAGCACCCAAGCGTTTCGTAATCTCCTTCATACCCCTCTACGAAGTCAAGAGTTTCCCACCTCTCTGTTTACGCCACTCTGAGTTGGGCATGAAAAACAGCACTCTCTTCGGCAAACGATGATTCGGCATACGCAACAAATGTTCCAACGAACGCAGATTCTGGTGCTGGACACATTCTTGAATGGAAGTACCCGTTACACAACCGAAAACGCGCTTTCCAACTGCCTTGTTACGGATTCGCCGACGCCAACCCACACGAGCTTTGGTTCTGAGACAACGATTGTCGAACACCTGAAGACGTCTCAGTTATGCTGTTCGAATAGGCCAAGTCTCACAGCCATACAACGAAACAGCCCATACACATGTCATTTCACATTTAGGGACAAACCATTCGGACGCCATAGGTGTCTCAAATTAGCAAACGCGGCCCGCACCCTGCAGATTCGTGCATTCACCTCATCTGTCACACTACAATCAGAACTAATATAACTTTCAAGATACGTAAAACGCTCCACAAATTCCAGTACCTCTCCCTGGATTGTAAGTGGCGTGTTCAGTGACTGCACGTCCACGAGCATGACCTTACACTTCGTAGGTGCAAAGTCCATGAATACCATCGAAGTGCCCCGAGATTGAGTTAAGCTCACCCAGTTTTCTATCACAATCATCAAAATATTTGATCGAAACGTGACACCCATCCATCATTAAGGTGAAATCGGCTGTATGTGGCTGCCACACGCTTGTGTGTACGTCCTTACCTTCCTGTTTGGATGAAGCGCATTTTCTGTGCTTAACAATACTACTGAAACAACTCGTAATACCCAAGCACTCTTGTTCGTTCAAAGCCTTTTGATTGTCTAACCGAAAACGCATCATGATATTCAGGATTTTGTTCCTACATCAGGACGCGACTTCTATGCTACTACTTCCAATTTCATTATTCACTTTTTGGACAGCATCACCGCCACAGATTACTGTGTTATAGCAAAATTGGTCTTTCTTCATTTTCATCCCCAACGGAAAGGGAAGGCTGATAAAGGAGATACTGTATGGAAAAGTTGAAAATAAACACGTGAAGAGACATACGTCGGAGGAACTAGCTTTGAGTGTCATAGGAACCAAATAGCATAAATCATGACCATCGATTCTGATTTGATCTTTCTACACCGTTAACATTTATCTTTGGCACTCACCTGCGCACCCTTGTTCCGTATACTAAGAGCCATGGCGAAAACAATAGATTATTAACTTCGCCTCCACTGTACGGGCAACAGCAGTTGCATTCGCGTTAGCAACCCAATATGATTAATGTTGCTCAGACCTGAGGTTTCAAGATACCCGCGAGGTTTATTTCCACTGACTAAATCAAATGGATTGCCCCTTGATAGATTCAACCAGCCACAACTGCCCAAAATCATAATGCAAATTGAATCCAGCCGAATATTAATCACCTTGGTGTACTGATGGACTGCATTTTATCATAGTATTTCGTCAATGATTCCGTCACAGTTGCTTCCATTCTTTGGACGCTCGTTCTCTTAATGACATGAGTTTACGAGCTTTGGGCTTTCGGCTTCGACAAATCTGACCCGCTGTCGAAAGACGAACTGTCATCAACACGGAGCAGTCGAGGAGCGTCATGGGTCTGACAATTCATTTGCGACTACTTTGAATAAAATATGGAGGGTGGTGTCTCCAATTCCACACACTCATACCGGTATCAAACTTTCAAATATGAATGTTAGTTTGCACATAACTGTCTAACTAGAGTCTAACTAGAGGCAGAGGTACTTCAATATTCTGCAGTCGTAATGAAAAATGCCGAGGCAATATCATCGGGCGTATCGGCACCATAAAGAAGTTGAGAGTTGATTGGTGTAACTGCGCAGATATGGAGAGAAGAAGATAGTTGCAACCGAATGTCACATCATTTGGCAGGCAGTTCACTTATAAAACCGACTAGAATCAAGCATCACGCAGATCGGCCCAAAGCTGTTCTAAATGGTCGTATTTGTGAAGGGTGATTCAAACACGACAAGATTATAATTACGTGGGAATGGAAATTTAAAATGCACCGCAACGGAATTGGAAATAAACTGACCATTTAAACTAGGGGAGAGTTTACCCAAACTTGGTGCCATGTTGTCGTATCAACTGAATCTCAATCAGACTGCAGAACTGCATAACAGGGTCTTATCCTCCACATGTTTTGAATTGAAGAGTACCTCTGTCAGGCATTATTCTGCATTGGGCAGCGTTTTCTTTGACGTAAGTTCTCCCATCATTGTTCAAACACAAGAGACGCTGGGTTTTTAGGTTTCTTTTTAAGTAAGTCCGCCCCAGTAGGCCAGCAGCAGGTGGTGATAAGCAATAGCATCAGAAGATGCGCCCCCACCTGATCACAAATGTCCCCAGGTTTGATGAACCACTAGTTGCAAGACTGGCTTCAATATCAAGATTCCTTATTATAAATCATCACAATAGTTCGAAGAGTTACCGCTGAAGAATGCTGATTCCAACATGGTGCGATTCACCATTTGATTGAATTAGCTGCTTTGGTTATATTTGTGATTCAGGTGATGTGATGTTGACTGACCAGTACTCACGATGAAACCTGTCTGCTACCGAGATACAAATGACCCCGGTATACAGCTGGCTACCAGTCGTATAGGAAAATATTCCTAAAGGCAGGAGAGAAGATTGGTTTGCTTATGCCGGTCGGGAGTAATAGTGACCAGGGCTGCTAGCGGTCCAGATAATTCAGAATATGTGGCTGCTCGTGAAAACTGCCATTCAGACAAAAATTCGTCGAACACAGTTGATAATCACGTTCATGCTTGCAGTCTCACTGATGTGGATTCGAGGGCGGACCATCAAGCCAGCCTGGGACTAGAAAGGATTGCCAAAATCAGCAACCGTTTCCCTTTGTGTGCTGGTTGGAAATCGGCTATTAACGCACACACAAAAGTATTGATAAACAGAAAGAACGTCGCGTGATGCAAGGTATTTGGCTCTTTTGGAGTAATCCATAGGTTTCGTTTGCATCAACTAGAATATAATGACTGCTTAGGCGCAGACAATTTTATAGAGATTCTGAAGCCCTGCAAAAAATACTGAGAGATTTCGTTACAAAGACGAGTGGTCTGGCTGTAGATATATCGGCGAACCTCCAAGATGCATTTACAAGCGTACCTTCTTTTATTGGTAAATAGACTGTCAAATTGAGGACGGTCCACTGTGAGTGAATCCATTCAGTCGTGAGCCTTGCAAAACCTCCAATCACCGTCATTCAAGGAGTTAGCAAACATGTAGGAAAGTGATGCGGATTGTAACTGGGGATTATCTTCTCTGTTTAAGTGTAAGTTGATCAGAATGCTGATCAGTGCTCGTGATCGGTTTCTTACGTGTTCACATAACCACTCCCGAGGTAGGTGTTTGGAACTACACGAAGTTTGGTAAGACCCCCAGTTTTTGCGATTTCGAATGAGCATTAAACAGCTGTAAATTGCTAACTGACTTTCAATCATTTAGGATGGGTTAATCACAGGGGATAATTTGAAAATGTTTCTACAGAAAAGTAGTCATTACGTTTATTGTGCTACCAGTCAATTGGGTTAGCAACATCACTAGTTGCACTCTTCCACTTGAACTCAATCACATGTGAAAGCAGACCTAACACGTTATTTGATACCCGTTCAAAGAAAACATGTTTAATCCAGAATTGGTTTATTCTACTGTTCAGTACTGGCTCGAATAGAACGTCTACAACTCTTTGATTTGTGAGCAGCAGTGGGCAGAACGAATATTAATTACAGCGATTTAATTTTGCTTTAATTGTCGAGCATGCAGGCAGTTTTTTCGTTAGGAGCACTGTTCGTGACCGGAAATAACCAAAACACAAAACTCCGGCTTTCGCTGGTTTGTCTTTGTGTGGTATTCCCCCCTCCGCTCTTGTATTTTTTGCATCATAAATTCGTCGGTGTTTTAAAATGCTTTTAACAATTTAGTGGAGGGAACTAATGGGTTAAGAAAGGGAGCAGCAATTGTATCATGTGTGAATCATTTTGTACTTCCATAGTTCAGAAAGCACTTTCGCGGGTGAATCTCGATTGAAAAAATCCACCTTCATATTGCCACCGATCAGCTGAGTGCAATGGAAGATCACTTCTTATACGTTAAGGTACGATGCTGAGTTTGTTCAAACGCTTATTCAAGCAACTGTTTAGCCATATCGACATAACCAGACTAGCCTGATTAATAAAGCCATGCTGAATGGGCCAGCGCTTTGGTCGAAACCGGTAGTTCTAAATGAGTCGTGATGAAAATTACCCAAGAATCTACAGTTAGGTTAAAGTTGAGAAGGTTGAAGACAGGGGAGGTTACTACAGTTTACTAGATGTCTCAGCATTCCAACAGCTGATGACATCTTACGTCGCGTACATCACATATAATTTAAGGGCCGATTTTGGAATTGGTAGCAAACCACAAACACGGAGCGCCTGCCAATTTGGAATAAAACAATTCAGACTGTTCTCTGAAGAAATCTCTGTACTGAAAGGTTTTAAGAGATGCACTGTACTGCAAAGGTTTCTGGGTTCCGCGAAGATCAAAGCGCTGAGAAACCTCTTGGTCATCTGTCTGTGCGAATGTGTAATTATTTAGGAAGTTGATGCTGTACAATTTTGAAATATGCTAGTACTGTTCATAAAAAATCTCGATTTGAGGCAGTCTCCCTTCCAACTGCCATATTCGACTGAAATACCGGTACATTTGCGCAAAGAATTCTAACTCACCACATCGTTACAACTGCTCACGCTTCAATGAGTTTAGCTGTGTTTGTGATATAAGTTAACACTGTATTTTTGCATAGTACTTTCTCAATTCGTTACTGGGTAAAGCCAAACTTATGTTAGCAAAAACAACCGAAAGGTTAGATGATGATCGGTCCTTCCCCCCCTGATGATCGGTCGAATGCTCCCCCCCCCCCCAAAAAAAAAATAGCTTACCTTATGGGTATAGAATGGCCAACCGAGAAAAAACTTCATGCTGGTAGGTTTTACTTGGAAAGAAAGAGCAAACGTTTACAAACCCTTCAAAATATTAGTAAATGCATATAAGCATATTTTGAGTCTATGTGGCACACGTCAGCAATATGCATCCCTTCACTATGTGGCTATTTTTCGCACAAACGAACAGGCTGGCAGCAAAATCATCGCAAAAATGGGTAAATTGTTGTCCATAAAAGATAGAGATCTCCTGCTTGAGCAGGAAATTGGAAATAGCACACATTTTGCCAATCGAATCACTATTTTATTGCGCAAGCTACACTGGGAAAGTCGAAATTGAGCTGTCTATAACCTGCGTTAGTATTTTCCAAAGAGCGAAAAAAGCTGAATATAGCTAGTTTCATAACTTCCTCGATTTTCCAAATTCCGAAGTATTAGTCCGTCGTTTATAATGCGAAAACCAAAAAAGCCTCTAGTGTTTGCAAGTTGTGCTGTAGCAAGCTTTGAACTGGGACATCGGATATCAGTTGTACATTATAAAGATGAAACACTCTTATTAAGGACATTTTGCAAACGCAAGCAAAAAACATCCACTGACATTGAATTCCTGAATATTGGTTAATCGGTACTCGGAATCCAACACATTTAACTCAGTGCCGAATAAATTAGAGTGAATGAGTACAGAGACTGATTACCAGTAACCAGCGCATACTGTTTAAATGAGAACCCGCCCAAGTCTTTTTTGTTTTGGTGACAGTAGTAATGAGTATGATTGGTGGGAATGTCAGTAGTATGAGCATGATTTTCACATATCAAGCATCCACCAATAACTACTCAGACAACTATCTAGCAGGATTCACGCGTCCATGGCACAAGGTGTGTGGGAAGTCACGACGGACTTATCAATCGATTGACGAAGCCAGGACAACTACTGAGTCACTGTTCGAGGCGTAGGGCAAATCAGTCGCGGCGCGGACGCGTGGACACCTTTGTCCCTCCAGTTTTGTTAACGCAGGCACGTCCAGCATCCATCGGTGGATTCCTATGAACAAGTACGTCAGATTTTCGTTGATGAGTTCTAGTTAGATTGAAGCTCAAGCCCAGTTATTCCCCCACCTTTGGTGAGGACCGAACAGAATCATTGCGCCAGGATAGGGGATGGCTTCTAGGCAGCCACAGATACGTAATAGTCTTAGTAAGTACATCAAGCCCAGTTATTCCCCCACCTTTGGTGGGGACCGAACATAATCATCGCGCCAGGATATGGAATGGCTTCTAGGCAATCATAGATACGTAATAGTCTTAGTAAATACCGTTTTACGTTCGCTTTCAAGACAATTCACGGTGTCCGTTATTAGTGTGTTCGACAGTAAGTAGTGTGTCGCTCAGCCCAACAGGTTACATACTATATTGAATTTTGCAATCATGATTCTTCTATATTCCTCAATCACATCTTTCAATTATTGATGCGGCAAAACACCATCAGATGCTTTTAGCGTAGTCATATTGCAAGACCATATGGATTAATTACAGCAGAATGTGCAGAACCAGGTGTTAGCAATGTGCATTTTGCTGAGCTTCATACAAAATAGAATAGGAAATACAGAGTATGAAAAAGATACGCCTTTGCATTCGTGCAACAAGAAAGAAACTCACTTCTAGGATGAAATGCAGTGGGGTGTGTCTGTAGTAGCAAAACACGAGAAACGTTTTTACATCAGAATACAGTTATATGCTCAACAATTGCTTCCGTATTGTCTCCGTGCTTCACCAGTGGAAACGTTCCCACTGTCCAGTTGGTTTGCTTCAATCCGATTAACTCCCTTGAGGTAAGAATTCACACAGGAAAAGACGTATCGTTGAGATCTGGTGTGA